ATAGTTATGTATCATGTATATACCAGCGTATTGACACTGTTGGGACCTCAGCTATACTGTTGTACATATACTGCTGCTGTACTCAAAACTAAAGGAATTCAGAGCAGTAAACTAGTAAAATAGGAAGAGCAAAGCCTGAAAAGAATGCTAAGAAGCCTGATAACATTTCCCAGGCTGCCAATTCTAAATATCACAGAATGGTTGAGGTTGGATGGAATCATTTGGAAGTCATCTAGTATTCTTTTACGTATTTCAAGTCTAGATTATGATTGTTAGATTGATACGGCAAGTCACGTATTAAGATTTGACCCAAACTACAGAGGGTCTAGGTGATTAGAAACCATAAGCTAAGCTGTGCTATAAAGTTTTGTGCTATGCTACTTATAAAATTGTGCTACACTGATTCTGCTTATTAAAAGTCCGGTGTTATTTGAATCATAAGAGTCTATGCTATACTACTAATAAAATTTTGTTTAAAAATAAAGCATTAATTGAAACTACAAATCAGTGTTGCCATAATTATGTCAAGGATCCCTAAAAGAACCTGTCTGTCGCCGTAGTGTCAGGTGACACAGCCTCTCCTTATAGGAGAGATGCTCCAGCCTTTTAATCATCTTTATGGCCCTTTGCTGGACTCTCTCCAGTATGTCTCTCTTGTACTGGAGACCCTAGAACTAGACATGGTACTTTAGATGCAGTCTCACCAGTGCTGAATAAAGGAGAAGGATCACCTCCCTCAACTTTATGGCAACAATATCCTAATGCAGCCCAGGATACAATTAGTTGCCTTTACCACAAGGGCACATTGCTGGCTTGTGTTCAGCTTGGTGTCCACTAGGACACCACACACTCCACTTTTGCAAAGCTGCTTTCCACCCGGTCAGACCCCATCATTTTCTGGTGCATGGGGTTGTTCCTCCCCAGGTGCAGGATTTGGCACTTCCTCTTGTTGAACTTCCTGAGGTTCCTGTCAGCCCATTTCTCCAGCCTGTCCAGGTGCCTCTGAACAGCATCCTGTGCTCCTGCATATTGACTGCTCCCCCCGTTTGGTATCACCCATGAAGAGGCTGAGTGTGTCCAGTTACTAGTAAAGTATTGACCTTGCTGACTTCCCACTGTCCAGAGGTGTTGGCAACTTGGTGCCAAAAATGTATCCATATAAGATTTTCCCCTCTGTAATCAGGGAAGAGGGAGGAATAAGGAAAATTTCATAATTTCAATATTCAAAGTCAGGTTTGGTAATTCACCTTTAACGACATAAAATAATGAAGTGTTCATGCATTAGTATGAAGAATGTATGTATCTTAAGGAAATTCACAGCATTGTGGTATTATTTTCTTCACTGCTCATCACCTTTAGTTTTGGATAAATTCTACTTTTTTTTTAAATTTAATGAGTAAAATACAATTCAAATTTTAGTTAAACACATTAATTCAAAGCAAAAAAATGTAGCAGCTAAACACTGACAAACACTTATACTGTTCCCTGCTGCTGAACTACTGCTAACAGTGTGAGCTATAGTGTGTTCTGGAAATAAGAGGCTCCCTCACAGACTTTCATAAACCCCTGAGGAGGAATTTTTCTGATTTTGGTGAAATACAATTTAAGCATTATGCTTTACCTCAGTCAAATTCCATCTTATACACAATCATACTTAGTAAAATTAAAAAAAAAATATTTGATTTAGCAAGCAAACATATTTTATAGGGGAAAGTATTATACCAGCATACATGGCTCAACTTTAAAATACTAAATCCTTTTTAATTGAAATACTGAAGAAACTGCTTCTTCACAATCTGGTCATATCACAATTTGCTCATGAGAATAAAATTTACAGTCATGAGTTGCACATAAAGTATTTATTTTAAATGTTTTAAGGATAGAGTTACATCATAATTATAAAAATTACTTACAGAATTAACAGATATAAAGTGTTCATAATTCTAAATGCAGAGAAATAAAATAATAATAATGAAACAGAGCTCTAAAGATGAAGTCATTACCTAATTTCAAAATGTGAACACGAAGACCTTTGAACTATACACATACCATCCAAATTGCATTAATGATGTAAAATACAAAAAGCACAGCATTTTCAAGGAACCAGAAACTGCTTTTACCATAATTCTTTTTCCCTGAAGCAACTGTAATCTATCTAAAGATAAAGCCTCCATTTAAAAATAATTCATTTAAAGAAGGCTTATACCTATTGCAATAAATAGTATTTCAGTCTTTATGTAGTCCAACTTAGTTTAGGGTTTGGCACTCAAAAGAAAAAAACATAGTGTTTTACTCATTGATTGTGATTTTATTTATTCTTGAACAGAATACATGGTCCCTTCAAATGCCGTATGACACATACAACTGGAAAATTACCTTTTGTTGGCACTATGTTCGCCTTACCAGTGCATTTAATCCTACTAACAACCATTCAAACAGCACAATAAGCAAATTCACAAAAAACTGAACACAAAATAAAACCAGAACAAAACCCAAACCTAAACATTATAACATGCATCTTCAGTTTGTTACATTGAATGTTCTAACTTTCTAAGCATGCAAAAAAGGATGGTCTGCATTTAAGCTTTTTTTTTTCTTTTAAAAAGTTTTACATGGCAGCCTGACATCATGCACACACACAATATACAACAATACTACAGCAGGTAAATGAGAGAGGCCAATAACTTTTATACAAAGATCCATGGCTTGTGCCATCACAAGACCTATGATAAGTTTGGAAAGTAATGATGTTGAACCCCTAGAACAAGGGACCAACATGTAGTTACTAGGGTAATACAAGCACTGCATGCAGATCTAAAACATGAGCCTAAAATAAAGCCCAAACAGATGGCAGGGGGTGGAATTAGTCTCAAGTCTCAAAAAGGTGGTTTAAGCTATTAAAAAAAACCCCTACAAAACACCCCCCCCAACCTTAAGAAAAAAGATGAAAAGAAAAAAACCCATGTAACAGACAACAGGGACATCTAAAACCAACCATAAATTTGACAGTTTTTCTAATTAGCAAAATATGTGGTGTATTAGTAGCTTGCATAAACCCCACAAATGCAAGCCTAATGCAAAAAATGTTCCAGTAGACCTAAACCTCAAATATTTCAAAACAAACCTTGTATTCCTTAGACGTAAAGCCCAAAATTCATTGTACTAAGTTATTAATGTATTTTGTGTGTAGTCAATACACTCATTCTTGTGCCACAAATATCAACTTGGGCTCATGGAGCCAGGCTCAGCTTTGAGATTTACATGCAGGACTCTTAAGAGTCAATAGAAAGCACATAACAGATCTGCAGGATGAAAGGACTGTGCTGCAAATCTGCTCACTTTGTTCAAAACACAATGAAAATTCACTGACGGAGGTACTTAATGCTTAAAGACTGGACTGAGAAGCTGTGAAGTAAAAGACAATAGTGTGCCTTTGCTTGCCCATTACAGGACATAATACAATATAGTAGCAAGGGACAAAGAATTAAGAGACCATATTTATACAGTATTACCATTTAACAGCATATTGAGGCACAAGCCTTAAGGCTAAAATATTAAATGAGGCAAAAAATAATGGACAGAAAGGGACTTAAACCACAGGGTCTTTGATATAAAAAATATCCACAATAGAGGTCAGACCTCTGATCTCATTAACAGAGATCCTGCATCCTTCCACTAACAGCATAAGGTTGGATACCTATGTATTCTTTCTTTCCATCAATAGTGTTGACTGTATTCACATTCTTCACATACTGTGTTTCTGTGAAGCAGTGCTTTGAAGCTTGTAGAGCTCTGCTTTAACATGACAATTTTGTTGCTGTGCTGATCCTTGTTACAATTCTGATGCTTTTTAAAGATGCTACACTTAAAAACCAACAAATACCCTAACCTTGATTTACAACTATCTTGTAAGATTAAAACTGTGAAAGAATTCTGCTGTTGTGGACTGCTATTTACATCCACAATCTAATGCAGATGACTGAACCACTGAGTCTGTCTAGAGCTCCCATTAGATAGTACACCACTGGCATGCAGAACTCTAGTGTTTATAGAATGAAATTCATGTTAACAGCATACCTCAAAGCAAGTACACCACAAAAGGCAACTGGTTTAAACTGTAGATTTGTCTGGACACTCCTTACGTGGAAAAGCCAGGAAAAGAATACATTGAGAAGATGCCTTCTTGAACCAAAATGGTTAAAAACAATAGCAAAACCCAAATTAAAACAAAGCAAAGAAATACAGCAGACCGAGCAGAAGGCAACAAATGCTTCTCCTTCTCTAAAGGAGGTCTTCAGTGTAAAAGGACCCCCCACCCCATAACATTGTATTTACCATGTAAAAGATTAACTACTATTAGGTTTCTAAATCCACACACAAACATCCAGGTTGCTAGGTTCTGATATTAAATGAAAGACTACTGATTGCCAATGCGTAGTCTAAAGACTTCTTAAATAGCATATATACCGTTAAACATGTGGCATCAAGCACTTGGGTTCTGCTAAGAAATTTGTATAACAAAACAGAGTACAACATTTAGGATTAAAGGCAGCTTTGTTGTTTGTATTTTACTGGTTCCAACAACTTGTAAACACAGGCCCTTAACCTGAATTTTCTAATTAACTGGTTATACAGATTAAATATATTTTCATAGTTTAAAGACTTTTCACTGAAAGGTGTGCAAGTCAAACATTTGATATCCTACTGCCCTGTGACTAGTAAAATGCACAAGTAGTTCCATGGACTGCAAGTTCTTAAAAAAGCTTAATTTGAAATAAAGTGTAGTTTAATTTGAAATAAAGTGTAGCTTAATTTGAAATAAAGTGTAGAAACACAGTAGATTGCTGTTACTTGGGTTAGGCACTCCTTACTGCTGCACAAACTATTTAAGCCAGTCACCTCTGTCCCAACCCAGAAAACAAGGACTGACAGTAGCCAAAAAATTAAATTTAATGTTACAAAAGAAGGCATATCGAAAATAGCAAACACTCGCATGTAGCAGTTGAACAGGTGAGTGCAAGGTTTAAGAAAAAGTTAAAATCTAGGAAAAAATCTAGATTACAATACTAGATTGACTTCACACAGCTTGAATTTGCAGCTGTTCTTTGCTTTTAACTCCCTCCCACCCAAATATATTGACTTCCTTCAAGAAAAGTTCTCATACGCAAAATGTGTCATGTTCACATAAATTTGTATTATTCAGAACAAAACAGTTTTGCTGGCAGAGATTGTGGGTTCGCAGGGACATTTAAGCTTTCATTTAACTGAAAAACAGTCAAGTCTGTGTCTACAAATTTTACATTTAATAGTTCCACAAATTTGGCCAAAGTTCATGAATATGTCTAGGATGTCTTCACCAAATCGTAGACATAAATATGGAAATCATCATCAAACTTGATGAAATAGACAGATGGTTTGGCTTCAACTTGATGAATGACCATGCCAGTTCGTTTTGAGCCATCTTCTTTGGCATATTCCACTTGTTTGCCTACCAGGCTGTCCACAACTTCACCTGGTTCCCGTTCTGCAGGAGGTGAATCATCTGTAATATGAAAATACAATGCACTTTGGTAGACATTTATGATTTTTTTTTCCCAGTATACAAAACTGCAGAGACTTCTTTAAAAGTTAAGAAACAATCACAAGCTTAAAATGTAGAGTATGTCTAAAACAAGTTGAGTTGTTCAGATAAGCACGTAACTATTGCCATGCTTCTAGAAAGTACACCCACACAATTCTTTAATTAATACCGTCTTCAATTTTATGAAGTAAAAAACCAGCACTTTAATTGGTGAGAAAAGTACATCTTTTGACATGAAGGTTTACACACCAAATGCAGAACATGTTTGTAGGCAATTAAATTTAAGCCCCCAGAAGAACAAAGCACTGTCTCTTTAACAGAAAGGCAGGTGTGCTAGAACTCCCTCTTCCCACACACTTTATCCAAAATGTCAATGCAAACATGCCATTGCAACAAAACCACATCTTCCAAGCTAAATGTAACCTCCTTAATCAATAATGCTGTTAAAAGGGGCTTTTGATTTCTTAGTAGAATGGATACTGTTGAGAAGTCTAACTATATTATTTGCTTTTCTAGCAAAATCTACCCGGAAGTATCCTTAAGGACACAATTCACATTGTAAAAGATCTAGATTAAGGGAAGGTAGCTCATCATTAGGAATGTCTTAGAAACAGAAGTAAGCAGTAGATAGTCTCAGAAAAAGAAAAGAGTGCATTAAGAACATAATTCTTAAATATGGAAAGCATAAATCTTTTAGCTTATTTCTCTAAGATGGAAGAAAGCAAAGCAGAATTTAAAAAGGAACTGTAAGGTATTTGGAAATGCCAACTCTGAAAGAGCTTGCTTTATTTGATTCTTCAGGAATAGGAAGGTCATCTTTTTCCATTAACATCTGTGGCTTACTCTCTTCAAGCCACAGATATGTTGCTTTTTGTTAGGCTGGAAAAAAACTAAAAACATAGGATTACTATAAGGGTTATACAAATAAGTGACAGTTGTTTACTCAGCCATCAGACTATTATCAGTGCTAGTCCTGAAGGAAGACAGTCTCAGAAACTCAATTAATTAATTTTAGATAATATTTATGTAGTGCATTGCATAGCCAAACATGAGTTGTCTAATCAATAATTTACTTTAAAGCCAAAATCGCCTCTCTGTCAGATAAATGATTTTGACGTGAGAAATGAGAGTACAATATTCTTGACAAACTTTTTTCTTCTTTTTTTATACTATCTATCCAAATCTCTTGAACAATACCAATTCTGTGAAAATACTTCTATATTTATAGGAAAAAAACCAATAACTTTCACTGCAATAAGAAAGAAAAAATATCCCTCCCAACCTATTGAAAAAAATGTCCTGTTTATGGGTTTAAACATGTGAGAGAAAATGAGTTTTCAAAAGATTAGTGCTTCTTTCCTCCAAGAAATTATTCAAAAGCTTTCCAAACTGAAGATGTCTACCCAAACTAAATTAATCTATTTTAGTTAGTCCCAAAACATTATTCTTATAAGAACCACTTCAGAAATACAACTCCTTGAGATGGCTCTTGATTTGTGAAACTTCTATAAGAAAATAACAATGGAAGGCTTTTAGTTTGTCAGTTTCTGTTAAAAAACCTAAGTGCAATCTCTTCCACAATTGTATGTATATTTTTATCAGAATTAGGAATTAGTATGGAATAGGATTTCCCAGTATTTATTGCATATTTCACCACTGATTCAAGTAAAATATTTCAGAAGTTGTTTAATACAGATGTATTTTCTGTTGTGCTGTAACCTTTGTTAGTTTTGATACTTAAAAAGATCCTTGTTTGTCATCTCTCTCTTTTCCATACATAAACGATAAACCAAACAATACAAAGAGAGATGCTGCTTTTCAGAAGAAAAAAGTAACTGTCCTACTTACTGGAATCAGGCATAATGCGAAGGTCACCTTCTTTATAGTCATCTAAGAGTTGGTACATGTACAAGACAGGATCCTTCTCATAGGTAATATAAAACCATGTGTTCATAATAGGAGCTCGAGCCAAGACCATCCCCCTCCACTCATCTTTTGAGCCATCCTCTGTCTCAAACATATGTTCCACAGCTTTGCCAATCATTGTGTCTGCCAGGTGGGCATCACTAATTCGAGATGAAGCTGAAATGGTAGCAGTTCATAAGTATATCCATTCAAAAGTACACATATAAGTCTTCGTAAAAAATAAACTTTATCCAGATTCATGAATAAATTTGTTTGAAAGTTAGTCAATTCACATACAAAACAAATACTGTTCATTCCAGAGAGTTGAAAACCAAAGAACTGCAGAACTTGAAGAAATATTTTAGCATGTTAACAGTCTTATCAACTTTTTCCATCATTGTACATCCCCCACAATTAATCAAACTATCATAAGGCAAGTTAAAGGGAGACCATTATAGGCCACAGCAAAGAACAGTGTCTGTATCTTAAATATTTGTAATGTGGGGGGAGGGGAGGAAGAGAGGTTAAATCACAGAGCAGCTCTATGAAGTTATTAATGAAGGTGTTCAGTTTGGTTCCCCCTAACCCTATTCTAGAGACTGTTACTGATCTTTTTGCATTCAGCAAAACCAAGAACTTATTCTGCTTAAAAATAAGCAATTACTAGGGTAAACTTTGAACTTTACAGTTTGGAAAAACCTACAGTTTAACAGTTCAATGCTAATTAGGAAAATCAATAAAGCCTTGTTATTAGTCAAGTTACTTTACTTAGAAAATGGTTTTTTTTCCCTCTGCTTGTATTAATACCTAGGGAAAGTACATGAAAAAAAAAGCCAACCAAACACATAATTACTGTCAAACATACACTACCACATAGCCAGGACATTTCTCACCTGACTTGGAGTTTAAATTTTAATAGAAATATCAACATTACTTGTAATAAGCTTCTTAGGGATAAGAGTATAAAAAAGAAAATACAGAATTTACTGCATACCATTTAAAGACAAAAGAAAGCACTATACTCTCTAGTATCATCATATCTTTGTGAAATCAAGAAAAATTAAACAGAGTATTTAGATTATCATAGAATCATAGAA